AAATCTCAGTGTATATGACCCTGAGGATCAGAACTACATGCTGCATTGCTAACACTATTAACCACTCAGGATCAATCTAGGAGATTCTTGGTAGAATGAGAGAGCAGTGTGGAATAAAACTCAAAATTAAAGAAAAGACCAAGCTTACTGCTTTCATAGAGACTGGTAAAACCTTTTAGACCATGGCTCTTAGTCACCCTAGAACTGAACTAACGTCCGTTGCTTCTAGTCAAACAACAGGGGTATAAGATGAATATTTACACCAGGTAAGTACACTCCTCAGAACAATTGACCACAGAAGGTCAGAAGGCTAGCATTTGGAATAGCTAAAAACAAGAAAGTGAAAGAAAGAAGGACACAGGGAGGAAGTGAGAAGAGTGATTGCAATCAACATCCTGAAATAAAATGTGTATGAACTGTTGAGTGGAAAACTAGCTTCTCTATAAACTCTAACCCAAATAATAAATAAGTGGTCACAGGTAAAACAAAACAAGTATAATCTATGTATGACAAAGGTCCAATTCTGGTGTGCATGAGATCACCACGAGTCAGAGACTAACTCAATGACAACAGTAACAATAATGACTAATAATGCTGAAGCATCTTTTCATGTGCTTATTATTTGGCCATCTGTAAATTGTCTTTTAAGAAACATCTATACAAATCCTTTGCCTATTATTTGTCTTTTTATTACTGAATTTTTTCAGTTTCATATATATGTATGTACATCCAGGGCTCTAAATCCATATTGGTTACATATTGTTGTTGTTATGTGCCATCGAGTCAGCCCTGACTCATAGCGACCTCTCCCTGGGTTTCCAAGGCTGTATCACTACAGAAGTAGGATTGCCCAACCTTCGTTCTGAGGAGTTCTGGTTAGCAGCCAGCCTTCTGGTAAGAAGTCAAGTGCCTTAGGCACTATGCTACCAGAGCTCGTACTGGATACACAGATTATCAAATATTTTCTCCCATTTTGTGGGTTATCATATACTTTCTTTATAGTGTCCTTCAAACACACACTGAATTTTGATGAAATACAATGCAGTTTTTTTCCTTTTCTTGCTTTTTGTTTTGTAGTCTAATTTAAGACCAAGAATATTTCCTAAGTGTTGTATAGTATTAAGTCTTACATACTGAGGTTATTGTTCCACTGAGTGACCTTTCTAATATAGAGTGTAAATTAAGGTACCACTTTCATTTACTTGCATATGGATATCCAGTATCTCAGTCATTTGTTGAAGTGACTTACTCCACACTGAATTGTCTTGACTCTCATGTCAAAAAATCAACTGGCCAAACAATTATGAATTTATTTCTGGGTTCTCAATTCTATCTCATTGATCTGTATGTCTGCCCCTTTCTGCCAGTAGCAGAGTCTGAATTAGCAGCTATTTATGTTTGGGTGGAAATATAATTCGGCAGGATAGAGAGCTCTTAACTGACAGACTTCTTTTATTTCAGCATATTTACTGTTACCCCATTGCCTTCTCACCTGTTTCTGATGATAACGGAGCTCTGGTTGCATAGTTTAAGTCTGGATTCATAGGCATCTGACTGTTAACCAGAGGCTGGTGGATCAATCCACCAGTTACTCCTCAAAAGGAAGACTGGTCAATCTACTTCTATAGTGATACTGCCTCTGAAACCTAAGGGGGTTGCTATGAGTTGGGAACAACTCAATGGCACTGAGTTTGGTTTTTGGTTTTCTGATGATAAATCTGTTACTAATTTTCCTGAAGGATCACTGGCATGTGATATGTCACTTTTCTCTTGCTGTTTTGAAAATTCTTTTGCTTTTCAATAGTTTGATATGGTGCATCTAGATGTGGATCTGTTTGAAGTATAGTATTTAGAGTTTTTGAGCTTTTTACCGCTTACATGTAGGTTAATGTTTTTCATCACACTTTTTTCAGATAATACTCCTTGAAATTTTAATTTGTCTTCTTTCTCTCCGTCTCTTACTTTTGTGACTTCCATTAAGCATATGTTAGTATTTTACATGGTGTCCCAAAGTTATGACCATATATTCACTTTTCTCTACTCTTTTTTCTTTCTGTTTCCCAGGTTGGAAAATCTGTATTTACTTATTTTTCTTCCTACTCAAATCTACTGTTAGTGAGATTTCCATTTTCATTATTATACTTCCCAAATTTAACTTCTTTCCAGAGGCCAATAGTTCATTTTCAACCTCCCTATAATGCTTAGTTGATCTTTGTTGCAATACTGTATATCCTTCAAGATTTTCTAAATATAAAAATATTCCTTCCAGGGCTATAAACAAAAGCCTCTTTCCAAATTTTACTAGAAATTAAAAAAATGATCACACTCATCTATAAATTTCTATTAGTTCAGTAAGAAAGATTTATCTACCTTTTCAGACATATTTTCTTGTGGATAATTTGTAATTTTTTTAAAAAATTATGTTTTAATCAAATGGTCTCAAAAGAAACCCAAAAACCTAACCTGGTAGGGAGCATACAGTGAAAAGATGTATATACAAGTCTAGTAATTCAGTTATAGACAAGAAATGAATAATCAAAGTATGAAAATATATAGAATAAACACTTTACCATCTTCTTTCCTGTACTGACAGCCAATAGCATTAATAAGCAATGGTTATAATCTATCAATATTCAGATTTATGCATTAAAAATGGAAGTTTGGGCTTCATTTAATGACTCATTCATTAACTAGTTTTTACTGATTATTCACTCAGCATACTCAATGTCTTAATTAGGAGCTAATACCTAAGTAGGTGATCATAAGTAAGATGTTGGGCAATCTGTATCTGTAGTGATACCGCTTCGGAAACCCGAGGAGGGGCAGCTATGAGTCGGGTCCGATTCAATGGCACATAACAACAACATAATTCTATGGTCATATTTGTTCACTTGACAAATATTTAATGTACAGTTTTTTTAAAGGGGGAAATAGTAGATAAAAGGTAAGTGGGTTAGGATCTTGTCCTTAAGAAGTAAATTAAAAAGAGGCTCAAGGGAGGGTAATATGATAGTTACCGATTAGGGGGTACAGAGTTTCTATTTGGGGTGAGGTAACGTTCTGGACAGAGAATGGTAATGACTGCGTAACACTGTGGGTGAATGTAACTAATGTCACTGGATTGTAAACTTAAAAGATAGTTAAAATGTTAAATTTTATGTTACATATATTTTACCACAATAAAATGATATATATACATATAAACACATATATTTATACACATACACATGGTGTTGTGTGTGTATATATATATACATACACATACATAGAAATTTAGAAACAAGTACCAATATTAGACACAGATCACCAGGCCAATCTTTCAAAGCACCTCTGAGTGGGTTCAAACTGCCCACCTTTCAGCTAGCAGTCAAGGGCTTACCCATTTGCACCACCCAATTGCTTATGAAAACACTAGAAACAATGAAAATTCTTCTTTGTAAGTCTTCATTGTTAAGTAAGACCTTCTGAGGGGGGAAAAACCCAAAGATGGATAATGAAGACTTCATTAAAAGCTGTCTGCTAGATCTTAGTTGAATTAACTTACTAAAATTTCAGTAAAAACAAACAGTAGACATCTGCTTATACTCTATAATCTATTTATAATGAATAAATCACAGAAAGTGATAGTATTAACATTATAATGTTTTAAAACGCATTGAAATTGACAGTCTGAGTTTTTTCTGTCACATATTTGGTTATAATTAATTCCTCCATATACTTTACCAAAAATCCATCAACTCTAGGGTTTCAAGTTACAATGTATCACAAAGTTATCTTCCTGGGAGGGGAAAACAAGAAAAATACTAAGGAAACAGAAATCTCCAGATAATCTTACCTGATAAAGTATTCAGACGATATTATTAAATAGTTACGATAAATAAAACCCCTGTTCCGTTATATTTACTCAAACTAGATTATAAACTCAAGGTCAAATATTGTGAATTACGTATAATCACTCTATTTAAAATAATTCCTTAAAATGATAAGGAATTCAATAAATGATTATTAAAACAGGCTTTTGAAAATTACCAAGCCAAGTGTAGTTGGAAGTAGAAATTAATCATTATCAGAAAGGAAGTACTTATTATAAGAGGTAAGAACACCTACTACTCTGCACCTAGCAAAATGCCTGCAAATTTTTTTAATTCAATCTACACTATAAAATGTTATTTTAAAGACATTGGTAGTCAAATAAGATGGTGATTTAGGATATTTAGGATTTAAGTTATTTAAATCAACAAGTAGACTATACTGATTATTCATTCAGCATACTCAATGTCTTAATTAGGAGCTAATACCTAAGTAGGTGATCATAAGTAAGATGTTGGGCAATCTGTATCTGTAGTGATACTGCCTCGGAAACCCAAGGAGGGGTAGCTATGAGCTAATTTATAAACCTGAAATTTCATTGATGTACTGAGAATATATCTAAAATTTAAGTTAGGAATACAGATCCCCATCCAAGTATTTTAATAAAAGAATTATCATTGGTATCTACCTAAGCAGAACTATATCCAATCATGTCCTAAGTGATAAAGAAGTAAACAGTCAAAAAAGTCAGCAGCCCATAAAGCGCAGTGGGTAGAATAGAAAACCAATATACTATTAAATTTCTAATCCATCTATACTCACCATGTACTTTTTTTCAAGTTGAATCCCTTTCAAATTTCAAGTAAGTAATTCTGATAAATTTAGTCACATTTTTCAAGATTTCACAAAGTCCAATCTTATTCCTTTCAGCCATTATTTTCCTATACCAAAGAAATTTTATCTTTCTATTTCATTCTCATTTAGAAATAAATCTTCACTCCAAACCATTTCATTTTTCTTAACTTGGCTTATCTCCCAAGATACAAACTGGAACAACAATGCATGTAGGTCTATAAGATGTATCCTAATTTTTTAGAAATTTAAGTCAAGAATATATTAACCTTAAGGTCAATTAGAAAAGGGCAGTATTTGGAAGCATCTTTGACAATCACTTTACCCTCAACACTTACAGGAAATCATAAGGTAGTCCTCACAGTTGCCTTTGTCATCACCTTGCTGGTCCACAGGAATCCCATTGGCATCTATGACTGCTTCAGAGGCACAGTCTTCTACCAATACTTCTTCTGAAACTATGTCTGTTGTCAATGTATCAGTGATGATTTCTGCTTCTACTACATTATCATGAACCACATGTTCTACACGTCCAATGTCAGGAACATGTACAGATTCATTTGTCAAGACATGTTCTGGCATAGACATTGAGGCTGATGTAATGTCAGAAGCTAAAACAACATTTGGCACTGGGCAACGTGCTAAAGACACTTCTTCAGTTACATCTGAGTCCAGCACTTGTTCTGGAATGATGACATTTTCAGATACATCTGCTTCTTCTAAGATATCTGAACACTGAACATTCTCTATAACAATATCTTCAATGACATCTTGGATTACAACAGAATCTGGGTCATCAGAAGCAAAGTTATGGACAGTTATGTCTGAATCCACAACATCTGAAACAAAAACAGTTTCTTGTACTTCCACAACAATTTGATCACCAATCATTTGTGTAACATCAGCACCTTAAAAATATAAAAATTAAAATGACGTTTCAGGTAGGCACGCAGGATTACCTCAAATAAGTTAATTTCTAGAGAAAAAAGGTTACCTTCTCAGTTTCCTTAAACATTAAAATAGATTATATTTGATTACAAGAAATACAAATTTTTTATGTAAGTTTTTTTTTTAAAGTAATTCTCAATCAATTAACAAATAAAACATTAGGGAAACAAAAACGTGATACAGTTACAAAGGAAAAACACTCATGGGGAAAAAGTCTAGAGCAACTGCATTAAATTTTATGGGACTATAAAAAGTATATAAGTAGTAGAAATTCAGGGGAAAAACAAGTACCTTTTCCCTTCATTATAAGTTTCATGTCCTTCACTTTTTCCACCTCCCTTAACACATCATGCTTCTTCTTTCTAGCATTCCTATGGATTTTTTTCCATTTTTTTATTTAAGTTTTTTCTTTTACCCTTTATAATTTTCACCACCAATATCTTCCTCCTATTGCTACAGAAACACAGAATTTATCTTTTGCACCCGGGACTAAGTTTAGAGGCACAAATAAATAGAGGAATAGAAGGCCACAGTTAAGGAGAAAAGATTACTCACTGAGGGACCTCACAGATAGATAAAATGAATAACAAGAGCAGCTGCCTTGGTGTAATGGAGGGTAAGGTCAGTCGGAAAAGGAACTACTACAAATTGACAAGGATGAATCAAGAATAACTGTCTCCCTGTAGCCTCCTCTCTATCTTTTCAGTCTTCAATTCTCTAGAGATTTCCTCAGAATAAAAGAAACTCTCATCTAGTACATTCTGACAGTAAGAAATAAAGGTACATGGTTTAACCAATTAAAGCCCAATGGAATCAAATGGTTTAACCAAGATCATACAGTTTGCAGAGGACAGTGCTAGCTATTTATATCTTAATCAAAGATATAAAATAAAATGAAACCAATTGGGTATCATGGCTCCTGGCCCAGAAAAAGCAAGCAGACTTTTATCTTACACAAAAAGGTAGTTAGTAAATTAGTGCTTCTGGTTGTGACTCTGAACAGGACGAAACCCAGTGTGCCTAACTCAATGACTATCTGTCACTGTACAGGCCCTCAGATAAACACACAGCTTCTTTAATAAAGAAAAGAGCCTAAAGAATAATAAACTAGTAAAAAGTTTTTAAAGTTAGTTAAAACCTATTTTAATTTATATATGAAAGATTGTGCTTGCTTTCATCTCCAGAGCACAAAATCTTTTATACTTATTTGTCTTCAATAATCTTAATGACAGATATATGTAACGTCCGTTTTGCAGACTTACATATGAAAGCATTTAGTGGCCATAGCACTGTTATAAGGTCTAAATGAGGAAGCAGGATTTGGATGCTTACTAGTCTTGTGATCTTGGACAAATTACCTAACCTTTGAGTTTCAGTTTCCTCAGCAGTAAAACGTAGACAGTAGTATCTGCCATAGATATCTCATAGATCTGTGGTGATAATCAAATGGGAATGCATGGGCAGTGCTCTGAAAAACTGTAATGAGAGGTCTCATAATTATCATGATATATGAAAACAGACTTGGTCAAAGACAAACACTGTTAATGTTAACCATCATGAAAAAATGCAATCTAAACCCCTGCCTATGTCTGCTGTGGCAAAATAAGCTAGTATGTACTAGTTTTTCTCTGAAGACCTTTCAAGTGTATTATTTACAGTTCTTTTATTCCAATGAAGAGATCTCTGGTGGAGTAGTAGTTAAAGCACTCAGCTGCTAACCAAAAGGTCAGCCATTTGAATACACCAAGGCCACTCACTTCTCAGGAGAAAGATAATGGGCAGTCTGCTTCTGTAAAAAATTATAGGCTTGGAAACCCTATGGGGCAGTTCTACTCTGCCCTAAAAGGTTTAAGCCAGAATCAACTCAATGGCAGTGGGTTTGGTTTTGGTGGCTATATTCCAATGAAGAAAAAAAAAAAAGTAACTATGCATTTACCATAATCAAACTAAAACTACCAAATGTGAAGTAAGACATAAATTGTTAAAATGTGCACACATACACCAATAGTGCACTCATAAAAATCTCTTATATTTCTTGGTGAAGTTAATCCCTATCGTTAGCATACAATAATGTGATCATTTAAATAAGTGAATAAAATCATCATTTATAAGAGTAGCTTTGTAGTATAAAAATGTTATAAAATCTACTTCAATCACTTGTGTCACTTAGGACAGTACAGACTTAGATAATCTGAAACTGTTAATTAATAATAACTAATAATAGTAATTATTATTACAGGCTCCTTTTGGGATAGGATCTTAAGTTTATACTTTATCTCCTGAACAAGGAGAACAGAAAATGACATGACCATGTGTACTTATAATGAATCATCTGCCAGACAGACTGAAAAAGAGGTGATATTTAAGGGAAATAATTAGTATTACTGATTAAGGAGATAACAGAGAGCCTATCTAACCAACAGGAACTGGTACAAGAGAAGCACTGAAGTACACAGAATGATTTCCAAAAGATACCCCCTCAATGGTAACCACATCTAAACCTTGGAACCTATGAATATGACACAGGAACACTGCATCTATAAGTAAGGTTACCTTACAATCTGGGTGGACCCAATCTGATCACATGAATTCTTAAATCACTGAACTTTATCTGAATAGAGTCAAAGTATTACAGTATAAGTAACTTACAGAGATTCAAAGTGTGAGAAGGACTGAACTTGTCTTTGCTTGGGGAACCAAGGGAGAGAGTGAGAAGGAACATAGGTAACCTCAAGGAGCAAAGCCCAGTTTCCTAAATGACAGTTAGAAGGGAAATAGAAACATTAGTCCCACAGTTGCAAGGAACTGAATTCAGCAAACAGCATGAATGAGTCTAGAAGCAGATTAACCTATTAGAAAAAAAAAAAAAAAAAAAATCCACTACATTAAGTCAATTCCAACTCATACCAACAGTACAGGACAGAGCACAACTGCTCTATAGGGTTTCCAAGGCTGTAAATCTTCACAAAAGCAGATTGACGTCTTTCTCTGTTGGTGTGGCTGGTGAGTTCTTGGTCTTTATTCATCCAAAACAAACAAGAACGAAGGAAACCCAAAAATGAGAGAAGAAAGAAGGTCACAGGACCAATTATCTCCATGGACCACTGCCTCCTCTCATCATAAGACATGTGATCATCAGGACCACACAAATAGATCAAAAACAAGGAAAATGTGGAACAGTACTTCAATTCTTCAAGAATCCAGACTTATTGAACCTACTGATGCTAGAGGAATCCCCAGGAATATGGTCCTAAGTTGCTCTTCAAACCTGAAATTGAAACTGTCCCCTGAAGTTATCTTTATAAAAATTTTGGGTTTCACTAGCCCAAAGAGTAAAGACTGAAGGACTGTCAGCCTTGAGTATTGTTTTACACACGTACACACACACACAAATGGCCAATAGGTACTTCAAAGCACCAAGGCAAAGACTAGGGGACAGGAAAGATTAAGTAAGTGGAAGTGAGACAACTAGAACAGGAACACAGTAATGATGATACAATGTGAATAATGTCACTGGTCATTATGTCTACAAACTATGGAAGGACAGCCAGTTTTGCTGTGTATATTTTCACCAATAATAAAATTTGAAAAAGAAAAAGTGAGAAGTAGGTTACTGGAAATTACATAAAAAAGGATTCTTCTTATGTGGTGGTGGCAAAATTGTGTTCAGAGGTTAACGTGGAAGGCATAAATTGTAAATGATGAAGTTAAGATATTTAGCTATGGAGATTTTCCAAACTAAGTTATAAATGTGGCCTGCCTTCCTCTTGCTAGTGACAGTAAAATCTAAGAAGGACATGATGTATGGGAATCATAGTTAAACAAAAAGGAACTAGGGCCTGATAATTTAGGAAATAGTGTATCCAGAGGGGGAAAATGTTTAAAAAAACGTGTTGTCAGGAAAAATGTTTAGAGAAAAACCAAATCTAAAACAGAGAAAAGGACTGAGTCATTTAAAAGGGTCTCTGTAAAGGTTAAGAGTATGCCTCATCAAGACTCTTCAATCCAACCCACATACCCTCTAGGAAGCTGAAGGACACTGTCTCTCATGTATTTTAGCATAAGTTAAAAAAATAAAAACACAGATGGAATTATGCCAGAAAGATCTGTGGATGAGCCTCTTGTCTAATGCAGTGAATCCCAGTGACATACACGTACGAACCACAAAATTCTTGATAAATTTATATAAGCCAAAACTCTGTAAGTTTATACTGGAAAGCTAAGAAAAAGTATAGCATAAAAGTAGTTAGCAGCCCCCAAATTATGGCAGGAAAGTAGGCTTAAAAATCGGATCAACTGAAAACACGTATTAATGTTATTTTCCATGAAGAAAAAAAACAAAAGATAACTCAGAAAGTGAACCACAATCCATAAAGGATTACTGTTGTTACATCTAGTGAGTTGATTCTGACTTACAGCAATCCTACAGGGTGGAATAAAACTGCCCCACAGGATTTCTGAGGCTGAAAACTTTATTGAAGCAGACTGCCACATTTTCCTCCCTTCCAACAGTTGGTGGATTCAAACTGGATTCTGGTTAGCAGTCAAGCACTTAATAACAATGTCACCAAGGCTTCTTAAAGTTTATTACCTATCATACTGAGAGTTGAAAACTTGTTTCTTTAGTTTCCTAGGTCAGTAAACAAAGAGGAACTGTACTCTAGGTGTAATGTTCTACAACCAGCATCATTCATACCTGTTTTCCATGATTTAGACACTTTAGACTTTAAAAATAATGAATTTTAGTTAATATTTTGGATATTGAGTCTGGGTACCAAGGGAAAAAGTGAATGTATTTTCCATTTAGAGGAACATAAATGTTTGGAAAACAGAGAACACACCGTGTATGTTAGGTAGAATGATCTCCCCCCAAAATACCTTAGTAAATATGTAATATGTGAAAAGAAAGTACAGATGTAACGTTATGCACATAAAATAGGTGAGATTATTTGAGTAAATCCAATCTAATCAAACAAACACAAGGAATGAAGACTTGTAATTGTAGTCAGGGAGATTCGGCAGAAGAGGAAGTCAAGAGAAATTCAAAGCATGAGAAGGACTCAACCCACTGTTGCTTAAAGGAACCACGTGGAAAGCATGAGAACCAATACATGTAGGCAGCCTCTTTCTAAGAGCAAATAACAAGCTCCTGCCTGATACCCAGCAAGGAAACAAAGAGTGATGACGTAACACCAGAAAGAGCCAAATATGGCCATAATTGTCAATGAACATGGAAGACTTTCTCAGATCCTCTAAAAAGACTGTATGAAGCCTTACCAAACACTAACCAGACAACACACTTGAGCCACAGTGTACACAGACTTCTGACATGAAGAACTGTGAGCCAGTAGATTAGTATCATTTTAAACTACTAAATCTTTGAAAATATATTACAGCAGCAAAAGAAAACTAACACAAGCAGATAGAAAAAAGAAACACTTTCAAAGGAGGAACTAATAGGACTTTAGTTCATAACTGGGGAAAATTAGATAAACTGAAGATAAAAGTAGGATTTTTTTATATTCATGGTGTCACTGACAAGAGAAGAGTTGGATATGAGATTACGACAGGATAACAAGATACCAAAATGTGACTCAATCTCAGATCTGTAATTTGGTTTCTTGATAAGCAATTCCAAATTTGGCAGATGGGAAGTGAAACAACCCAAGAAATAGTTATACCTATTCCACCAAAAATTGAGTTTGGTTCTTGTGGCTGCAATTCAAGTTCATCTTCATCCATGGCCTTTAATTCTCATTAGTCACAGCTCCTAAACCAGGGAATAAAGTATATCAAACATTAATTTTTTATATCATAAATTAAAGATATATTTACATTTCTAAAGTGCTGAAATAATTTATGAAACTTCTATCAAAGTAAAATAAGGAACATAAATGATTTCCAATTACAGACGGACAGTTATGTAGCAACTAAAGGACAGCTAAATCAAGCAGGTTAATTTTGGATAGGCTATTTATTTTAACTGAGGCCGACTTACATAAAGTGCACAAATCTTAGTGTGTAATCAGTGCATTTTTATAAATATTTCTACTACCTAGATTATGTCACAATATTTCTTACTGTCTCCTCTCCATCAATAGCCTAGTTACTTCTTAAAGTTCAACTTCAGTATACTCTGAATGATTTATGTATTATTTCTAAAGTACTCTATAATCTTGCCAGCAGGAAATTACAAAATGATAAAAACTCAAAGTCTTTAATTATGGTTAAACACTCTAAGATTTCTGACTAACTCACAATGACCTCTCTTATCTAACCTCTGGATTAGAGAAGTAATTCCCACAATTTTCTCGTGGTCACAGCTGGGCTGATTACAGTTACATAAAAAATGGTGAGAGTTCATTTTTGAGCACAATAAAATCAATGTTCTATATCTAAGGTTATCAATAGTTTTCTGAGAGGGGAGATCTCTTCATAAAGTGTAGCTATGACTATTCAACTCTCTCAAGTAGAGTTAATAATTGCACCAATATTTTCAAATGTATAAAGATGCTGCTGATATCAGTAACTTAGAGGTGTGGTGACAGCAACTGGTTCATATAACTGGACATTCATGTCATGAACATCCAAATCTTAGTTTAAAGAAATAAGAGCTCAAACAAATGAGAAACCATAATGTTCTGCTGAGCTGTACCATATGACTCTATTCAGAAAAGAGAGCTACTTTATCAAAATCTTCAAATATAAGAGTTAATATTAACATCATATGCATTTCGTAATAAATAGTCTGACTAGATATGCTGTGTGGCATGCTCACCTATCTTATTTTTACTAAAATGACAGTCACGGTCCAACAATGCACTTGGCTGCTTTTTCTTTCCTTTATTTCATCATTATACAAACATAAATGGTTAGAAAAAAATTTAGTTTCTCTACTTCGAAAGTAAACATGACTGTATCTCAACTTATTAACCTTTCTTAGTTTACAGTGATTAATTCCTTACTATACTCAGGATGAAATCATGTTGAAAATGTGGAACAAAATTCAAAATCATAAAAAGGATCACTCGTAGGGCCTGAAATTGAACTCATTCCTATAACTTAACTTCCAACCAAATAATATGCCTACGAGGTACACCATGGAAATAAATTCAGTGGAACAATGAACCGTGTAAATCAGAAGGGCAGTGTTTGTACAGGAAAAAAGCTCAGAGGGCAGGAATGCAAATTAATGAAGGACACAGGGAAAAGGTAACCACACAGAGAGGAAATGGGAAGTGAATAATACTGTGGGTAAATACAATCAATGTCAGAAGACAAAACTGTGTATGATTATTATAGAAAACAAATTTGCTCTGTAAACTTTCAGCCTAATCACAATAAAAAGTAATTTTTTTTAAAAAAAGAAGAAACAAACCATGTTCTTAAAATGCAATATGCTCAAGTATTCTCAAGAGTGTGATAAACTGAAAGCAGAAGAATATATGATTGATGATATAGCTGGAATCAGTATGGTTTTACAGCAGGAACCAATCCTAGGTATAGAATGAAACTGAAAACTTAATGATGTAGGAAACCAAGGATCTAAAAATTCCTTCTAAAAATATTTATACATCTAAGACCCCAGTACAATATCCAACTCAGTATAAGACTTCTGCTGTAGTTGTAAAATCATGACCTTGAAAATTACAACCTAGCCTCTAAAAATTAAGATAATGAGTTATCTGGAAGAAATCACAGTTGAAAATTTTACACTCACAAATATAGTAGTACTCAATTCTTTCCAAGAAAGAGAGATAGTATGAATTCAGTGGTATAGCAATAATATTTTACATGTCGTAAGTTAATGATAATGCGTATGACTTATTCATTTCATTAACTTAAAATACATGAAATTTACATATCTCTTGATCTCCCACCTGGACAAGTTTGTTGTTGTTATATACCATTGAGTCAAACTCAACTCATAGTGACCCCTCCTTGGGTTTCCACAGTGGTATTTCTACAAAAGTAGATTGCCTGATCTTCCTTCCTTCCAAGAAGTGGCTGGTGAGTTTGAATCGCCAGCCTTCTGGTTAACGGTCAAGTGCCTTAAGCACTACACTACCAGAGCTCTAGCCAAATTTAAAGTAAGTAACTTAAATACATTTATTAAGTGTAATTAGTTACACTTCAATGCCTTTTAATATTATTACTTTACTTTAGTTCCTTTCCCTAAGTCATGCTCAGAGAATCACAGTACATATTATACAAGGTAGACAGAAACACTCAAAGCTAGAAAATCAAAGTTAAGTAAATTTGTCTGTAAGAAAATTTTTCACAGAAGGAAACTGTTACCAGTGAAAAGTTAACTTATTTTAGTATTATGTATTATTAAGAAAGAACTTTCTTTTATTTTTCCATGTTGTTCAATATAAAACATCACTTCTCCAGATATCTAAACTTCAGCCTTGGAGTGACATTTAACTTGTGTTTCCACTTTGGGCCTTAAATAACTTCCTCTTTTTTCGTACTTCCATTGAAACCAGGCCCTGTCCAAAACCTGAAATATCTTAACTTTTGTTTCTGAAGCACTTACTGATGAAAATCAATATATAAGACTGTATGTATACTATTATACAAACAAGGCAGACTGAATTTCAACATAAGGAACAAAAAA